GAAGTAAGGGTTTTAAACATATTTGATATGTTTTAATCTATCGCAATTATCCTTTTTAATGATCGAATTGCCCCACCTTTGTGATGGGAATTTCTTTAAGGAATATCTTCTGACTCCTTCTGATGTGATCCTCTTAGTCTTTGATAGTGTGCTTGCTATCTGGTATGACAAGATATAAATTTCTGCTGCAGACCTAGAAACATCCGTTGCTTCAAGGAACTCTGGTGTCTTTTGCTGGGAAATGATATTATTTCAGCATCACTGTCTGGGCCTACGGGTGGTTGTTGTTTGTGGTTTGTTATTGTTTCTAGGCCATTTCAGGGACAGATCTAGGAAGTGTGTGTGTCTGTGTGTGTGTGCGCACGCATGCGTGTGTGTGTAAGATTAAACACTTTTTGAGTTCAAACTCATACTTACAATTTGAATTCAGGACTACAAAGTTAATTAACCTATATTTTAACTGTATTTCCTTTCTTTAATGTCAAATTTCCCATTCTCAGAACACCAGAAAATCCTGTTATTTTTACTAAAAAGCAACAACGACAAAGGGACTCTATGACCCTTGGTATTTCAAGAGAAATTAAATATTCAGGTGTAACAGGAAAAATGGTTTTCATCCATACTAATCATTGCCACTGATCAAATGGAAAGATGATAAATTAGCTTCTCATTCAAGGAGAAGCTAATGCTTAGAAACAAAAATGTACTTTGCACCTACATTAAAGATTCAATATAAGTGGAGGTTGCTGTATGGTGAAAGAAAATAGATGAGTCTACACTTGCTAAGATATTCAAAAACACTTTTCCAAGTTATATTAGAGGCTCATAGGTATCTGTATTGAGAAAAATAAACACTTTCAATCACTCCTTTGCAGCCATGCATAACTCAGGCTCTGCAAAATGTTTTGTTTTTAGACCTAGATATTTCTGGTGCGTTTCACTCATATGGGATGACTCCAGGGTATGTTCACCTCAATTGTTTCAAGTCCATGGAAATATGCAAGTGACAAGGAAAATAAAATCCCAGTAAAGCAAGTCAGGTCTATTTTCTTGAAAGTGCTCTGCACATAGTGGGGAGTACTAGGAAGCCTGTCCCATCAACAGACACTAGAGGCCAATCCATTTTAAGGCTCTTCAGAGCTCTGAAATGAGCCACCACATAAATGAGGATAAACCAGGTCTCATTCCAAGGACCCTTAGAACATTTCCATATCTCCTCATCATCATATAAGTATCTGTCATGCAAGGTAAAAATGACAGAAGATCTTCAAGATCTTCAATGGGAAATGAGTTATCTTCAAGTGATCTACTGTCATTTTTACCTTGCATGACAGTTACTTATATGTCACTTCAAGTGACAGTAGATCTTCAAGGAAATGTGTGGCCACACGCAGGAGAGAAACATGATCAGGGAATGCGAGAGAGCTCCGTGGAACAGGAGCATGATTTTAGGGGAACTCATTCATTCGTTTATTCAACCGTTTATCGAATGCCCACCCACTCACTCTGTACCTTGATATTGTCTCACAGCAGACCCAAATAAATTTAATTTCAAATCCTGGATCAAGCCCACTACCTTTGTGAGCTTTGGCAAGTTATTAAGCCTCTATGCCCTAATTTTACCATCTGCAAAATGCGGGCACTAATACCTGCCTCAAAGAATTTCTGAAGTTAAATGGGGAAAAGACCATATTAAATGCCTGTCACAGTGTCTGGCAGATACACAGCACTGCAGGAAACTTACCTTGCCTGCCCAAAGAGCTTCACCTTTCCTTGTTAGAGGAGAGAAGGAGAGGGAGGGAAGGTGAGAGGGTAGAGGACTTGAGAGACGAGGATATAAAGGGTTGTTGCAGGGAACCAGAAAATAAGTAGGCAGACTCAAGTGAAATAATTGTCTAGAGGCACTGAAAAACCAGCACAAAGAGGTTTGGTCAGTTGACTTGTTTGTAGGTATTTGAACAGAGAGGTGGACAGTGGAGATTTTCCCAGCTCACTTAATTTTGCATGGTTAGGTAACTTGATGAATTAGAATATCTTAATTGACAGAAAGTCTCCCCATTCATGTTTGTGGGAGAGAGTGAGTGGGGTGTGGGTAAGGCAGTTAAGGAGAATCTGTTGAAATGTGAGACTCACCACTAAGAATAATTGTTTTACTTCTCCAATGGGAAGTGAGTTATCAAATTTAAGAACAATTTCTCTGAAAGAAAATTCGCCTCCACTCTTTCCCACATTCTTACCCTTATTATTTGGCTTTGCAAGCATCCCCACGATATAGGCTTATAAATTTAGTTTATCTCTCCCTTAGCCCGGTCTTCCTTTATTATACCACTTTACTGCTTCTTTGGGGCTGAGACTCCAAAATTTGGGTCAAATGTTCCATTAAGTTAACCACTTTAGAATACCAATAACACTCCTGCAGCACTTTTCATCTTCATAGCGGCTCACAAACATCTCCTTCTTCACTAATGAAGATGAGTCGAATATCTTAAGAGCATCTAAAACCAAAGCTATTTAATCATTGTCTGATGTGGAAAAGTGAGACAAAATGCAAGAACGACAAAAAAGTATATTACATTTCAAACTTGCTGATTCAAACTTTTGAAAAATTCTTTGAACATACAGGCAGAAATCACGCCACAGAATCCTGGTTTTTGGAATGAAAATGGCCATATGCATAATAACAACCTTGTAGGGGTGTTTTTAGCTCTTCATATTTTACGGGTGCTTTTCAATTCATTATTTCATTTGATCTTCAGGAAAATCCACAGGAAAAAAAAGAAATTACTGTCCACATATTTTAGACAAGGCCTATTGTGATTAATTCACATCCTCAAGTTTCAAGTTTCCAGTTACTAAAGATTTGTGCTGGGACTAGAACCCCAAATTTCACTCTCCAAGTCAGAAGTTCTTTCCATGAGATTTCCTACCTGTGCTGTGCAATAACTGGAGGTTCCACTGGGGCTGGAGGAATGAAGCAGGAATGTGTGTATTCCCTCCTCTTTTAACTAGAGCAGTGCCACCAATATGCTGCATTTGGGGCTTTCACATGGTTTTCTCCAGTTCAGTTTTATTGCACAGAGCATGCAGCATCTCCTCTATTGTTTATGATCCAACTGGACTGTGAGCTGCATTTTGAAATTGCCTATAGGCCTGCAAAGCTCCATTCATGGCAGGGGTAGTTGTATACCATACTCTCTCCTTCTTGCCTGCCCCCAACCTTGTATCTTTAACAACTAGCTGTTCTGGGCCAATAGAGCCGTCTGATGGCCTTTGGATGCACCAACTCTTCCTTGACTTCCTTTTCTTCTTTATGAGACATAGCGTGTTTCCTCTTTTACCACTGGCCATTTTTACCTTTGAGAGTTTGATGCATCACACAGGCCCAGGAGGATCTTCCAGATCAGAACCATCTTGCCATGGTGATGCTGGTGCCTAACACACTTGTGCAGCCAGGACTGTTGAAGAAGCAAACACTCATACACTCATTCTTCAGCAAATTATTCCATTCCTAAAGAGATGCTCTTTCTATCTTCCTTTGTCTTCTTTCTTCTCACTTGCACTCTTCATTTTCTCTCTCTTTTGTCTTTCCATGAGCATAAAACAATCAGAACATAGATAACAAGCACAATGCCAGTTTCCCAGTATCTGAAAAAATTGAAGCCATTACTTCTGAAGGGAAATTCAGCAAGATAAATATTAAGTAGTGAGTGACGACATTTTTTAAAGAGCATTCAGGTCCAGCCCACGTATCGGCTTCATCTATAATCACTTGCTTTTTATAAGCATGCCTTGAAAACTCATTTCTCCTTTTCATCCTTCAAAATTTAGCTAAAATGTCACTTCCTGCAAATGTTTTACTGACATTTCTGGACAGCCTCCATCACCCCTTCTGATGTCTCCTCCAGAACTTTGAACACACCTTTTACTATAGCACTTTACACATTATACTTATTACAATTGTGTGTCTGTATCTCACACTAAACCAGGAACTGGTTTTTGTTTTGCTTGGCTTCATCCTTTTCTTTCAAGCAGCTAATATACAGCCTAGCTGAGAACTTGCAGGTGTACAGTTCTTTATTTTTGTTGATAAGTGTGAATTTAGTTAATTAAATGATCACCCAGGATTCAAGAAAGAACAAGCTCATTCTTACTCATTTTAATTTTTTTTCTTGGAATAGAATTGCTTTCTACTATTCCTCACTGAAATTTGAAGTGTATTTTTTGTTGTCATATGAGTTGTATAGATTTTGGTGACAAAATTTAATTTAAGAATCTTAATTTATAAATTGTTTCTATGGAAATATACATCTTACCTTCTAAAATGTTCAAGCATATATGAAGAAAATATGGAGTTTTGTCCATACCTAATCTATATACTATGAAGGTAGGAGGTAAAATCTCTGTATTTTGCTTTTCACAGAAAAACCTCTCTCTAATTCTCTTTCTCTCTGTTCCCTGATGTCTGCCCTGTCCCTACCCCTACAACTTTACCTCATTTAGAGAATTTATCTCATTCTCTTCATCCTTCCAAGGTTTACAGTTTGGTTTTCTGTTGTATACTTTTTAGTCTACCTTGAATCTGTTATTTACATATTTCCCCTGTTGAATCCAGTTGTAAGAGGATGCGCACGATGTACTTTTCATGGTTGATTTTTCACAATGGGATTTGCAAGTACAATATTGAGCTATGGGGGATATTTTGGTTCCAGGTAGGAATAGCTCCTAGTTCCTCATCATTTGCCATCTGAGTGCAAAGCAGACAAGGTCCATATTTCAGCCTTCACACTCTCTTTTCTCTTTTTCCCATCTTCTATTCTTTTCTCCAGAGATGAAGAGAAATGACATAATCAGGTCAATAATGCATTCTTTTTCATCTTGATTGTTCTTGTCTGGGTGCTTAATTATGAGATGTCAATTATTCAGCACTCTGTAACAGCATTCTTCTAAGCTCAAAACGTTTTAGTCATTGGATATTAAAAGTGCTTGTTTTCTGCTTTTAGGCTACAGTGGTGGCTGTGTGGCCATGCGAGGAAGGCATCCACTTGGCCGCTGGGAAGTGAAGGACTGTCAGCACTTTAAGGCAATGTCCTTGTGCAAGCAGCCAGTTGAAAATCGGGAAAAAGCAGAGCATGAAGAGAGATGGCCCTTTCACTCCTGCTATTTGCACTGGGAGTCAAAGCCTGGTCTGGCCAGTTGCTTCAAGGTGATAGCAAGGTTACTTGGGCATTCTTAACAGAACCAGCACCATTTTAATTTGATCCATGTAGCCCAAATTCCTGTATTCCAGGACCCTTTTTTTCCAGAACAGTGCCTGACAGATGGCAGGTGCTTAATCAAGTTTGTTGCCTGTCTCTATCCTTTCAATCATATTCCAAATACTTTTTAAGTCACAAAAATTGACACATCATGGTGATATTGAAGGCTTCCTCATGAAGATTGATATCTGTTAAGCAGAAATACTGCGCACGGTATTTGGCCGGGCACGGTGGCTCATGCCTCTAATCCCAGAACTTTGGGAGGCCAAGGTGGGTGGATCGCTTGAGGTCAGGAGTTCCAGACCAGCCTGGCAAACATGGTGAAATCCCATCTCTACTAAAAATACAAAAGGTAGCCAGGCATGGTGGCATGCCTATAGTCCCAGCTACTTAGAGGGCTGAGACAGGAGAATTGGTTGAACCTGGGAGGCAGAGGTTGCACTGAGCCAAGACTGCGCCACAGCACTCCAGCCTGGGTGACACAGCGAGACTCTGTCTCAAAAGAAAAAAAAAAAGGAAAGAAAAGAAATACCATACATTAATATTAATCCCTGGAAGAAGAGCACCATGCACTGGTTATCACTCTTTGGGGAGGACTCTAAACACCTGACCAGTTTCTGCATAGGTTCCTAGCTCTGGCAGGTCTTGCACAAACTTGGCTGCCAGAATATGAATCTGGTGAGACAGAACTCCCACACAAGAATACGGACAAAGGAACTCTATTACAGGTTGAGTACTCCTTTTCTGAAATGCTTGGAACCAGAAGCGTTTTAGATTTCGGATTTTTTAAAAAAATATTTGCATTGAACTTACCAGTTGAGCATTCCAAATCAGAAAGTTCAAACTCCAAAATGTGCCAGTGAGCATTTCCTTTGAGTGTCTTGTCACTGCTCAAAAAGTTTTGGATTTTGGAGTTTGGATTTCTGGATTTTGGATGCTCAACTTTGTATTCACAGATAGGCAGCAATAAGCAGCTGAAAGGCAGCAAAAAGCACCATGATCCATGGTGAGTCATTCTCCAAGGCTCAGGAAAGCAGCCCCAGGAAGATGGAATCTTGTCTGCACATGCCCCAATTTGTACCACAGCTGAGGGCTCCCCAAAGTGCTCTTCTCAGGGTTTTACATCCCAGGTGCCCCTTGGATCACTGAGCTAAAGCATTGCAAGACATCTGTTCTAGGAGGGATAGGATACTTCATATCTCAGGATATTGCGCTCTTGGTACACTTGGCCCAAGAATTGCCAGGAAAAGGAGGAAGAGCTGGGTCAGCAAGGGTCATTTGAGGAACTGTCCTCCTGCAATATTGAAGCCCTTGTCAATATTGCTCATATACCAAGTGAAGGAGGCAGACACTCAGAGGGTGTTAAATGGTATACTTTCATATTGTTTCTAAGCCAATAAATAAAGTCTTTATTATGGAATGATACAATTTTACTAATAAGAATAGCTGTTGCCGCTTGCAAGACACCCAAAGATCAAACAAATTAATGCATACAGTTGATTTGTATGTGTATATATAGGTGTGTATGTGTGTATGTGTGAGTGTATGTGTGTGGTGTGTGTGTGATGTGTGTGTAGTGTGTGTGTGTGTGTGTGTAAAGAAATCTCTATGTTTAAAGTCAGCTTTAGGTCCTATATTTAAATTAGTTCCTATAATCTTGTCAGAAATACATTTTTTAAACTATGATTTAAAAAAAATGTTTGGTGGTTTTGTCTTGGTTTATTTTCCAAATAGGGGTTTACTAGATCTTGGGAGAAACCTCCCCAGCAGCTCTGCACAGGCAGAGCAGAACGAAGACAGACTCCATCTCCAGAACTATTGTAGCTTGTAGATAGCATGAAGCAGAGGTGAATGTGCTCAATTTAAATTGCATACATGTATAATCCTACATTATATTCATAGAATAATAACCCCAAAAGTAGCCTCACCAAGTAATAAGTTAAACTTTAGAGATGAGTAAACTGAGGCCTGTGAAATGTAGTGATTTGCCCAAGATCATGATCATTTATTGACAGAGTTGGAATAAATCCCTGGTTTTAGACTGCTGGTCCAGTGCCTTTTCTACTATATATCACCCTGATATGTCAGCAAATGCATGGTGTGTGTGATGGGTATGGTGGTAGGATTTATGAGTTTAGAGTGATTCGGGAGGAGGTTCCCAGAGGAGGGAAATTTTGAGATATAATTTAAAAGATGGAAAGGTTGTGCTGTGGTCCACGGGATTTGGAAAGCTATTCATTCTGGTCTCAGCAAGTAAAAGTCTGGTTAGGGCTGGCCACAGGGTGTACCTGTCTGGCAACAAAGGTTCAGGCTTAGTGCCAGGCAGTTGAAAATGAGAAGCGTACAAAGGACTGGGATTGCAAGCCCTGTGTCTTCAGTCCCTTTCCCCAATCTTAAATAAAGCCAAAAGAAGACCTTCCATTTGGCTGACTTCTTCTGGCCACTATGAAGACAACTGAGAAGCAGCAGAGGTTTTAGACACAGCTGAACCACTGCACCTGCCAGTTGAACTAAGATCCAAAGACTAGAAATAGAGCTACCCTAGATCCCAGGTCTCATTCCTCATTTCTTTCCCTGAGTCAGCCAGAGTAATGATCAACCCACTAATTCTAATTTGTCAGAAGGCAGTCTGGTGGGACGGAAGTTTATGGACTCTGGAAGCAAGGAGTCATAGGTCTAATCCCAACTCTGCCAGTTTATAGCTGTGTGACCTAAAATTCTTAACCTCTCTTGGCCTGACTTTATTTATCTCTTGACAAATATTTACTGAGGGACAAGTACATGCCAGTCACAGAGGATTTAAGGTGAAAACAATTCTTCAGAAAGCTCATTTACAAAAGTGAGTTTATTTGTTCGGAGGATAGAAGTAACTAATGGTTTTATGATGCCTAGGCACTTTCAAGTTCAGTAAATGTTACTTCCTCTCACTAGATCAAGCTCTTAATAAAGATAATGATGATTATATTAATATTATTGTTATTTTCTTGAGCAGAGTTAAACAACCTCACCTTGTCTATGACAATGTTAATTTCTTCTCTTTTACTATACAGGTATTTCATAGTGAAAAAGTTCTGATGAAAAGAACATGGAGAGAAGCTGAATCATTTTGTGAAGAATTTGGAGCTCATCTTGCAAGCTTTGCCCATATTGAGGAAGAGAATTTTGTGAATGAGCTCTTACATTCAAAATTTAATTGGTAAATACTTGTTAATTATGAAAAAATTGCAGTCAAATATTCTATCTTCCAGTAAAGCCTTCTTAGGGGTGAGTGTCCCAAGTAGTTGTTTAAAATTCCAGTATTTATATTAAGCCCAAAGCCAAGAAAAATATATATACATATACAGTTTTACATTTATCTTGTACCAGGTTCTCACTTCATAAAACAAAGAACGAAGTGAAAATTGTTTAGATATTTTAAATCTTTTCTTTGTCCTTCAAGTCAGAACTGTAGAGCTTTCCTGCCAAATTCAGAAATTATCTACCCCAGTGGTTTTCAAAGTGTTTCGGAAGGATTCCAAGAATCCTGGAACCCCAGGAGTATGAGGGCCACATAGGCAGAGCTCCTGGTTCCTTTCACGCCTCACCAGAGCGACTCTGACCAGCTCCACTGCTAATTATTTTGTATATAATTGGAGCCTATGTAAGATATTGTTTGAAAAAAAAAAGAGTCCCAGTAATTTTTTTAAAATTCCACCCCAACCTCCTACGTTTTCATTTAGGGAAATAAGCTTTGGCTTATCTGTATCCATCTTGCAAGTTTACAGAACCCTGAATTCAGGGGAGTTAGAAACTCACATTTAAACTGGAAGAACTCTAAAAGGTCTTGTGCTACCTGCCACCATATACCATGGTCATCTGCTGTCTGCATAATTCCTTGCAGTTTCAGAATGCTTCTTATTTGGGAGAAAGCTCATTCCATTGCTGAAGGCTGGTTTCAAAGAGCAGCTTTCTCATAAGCCAGAAACCTGCCTCCCCTCAGTTTGAGCTAGAGTAAATACAAATCAAATCTTCTCTATTTTCAAAATAATTGAAGACAGTCATCTTCTCTCCTTTCAGTGAGCTCCCCATCCCTCACTTTGGCCTCTCATTTTGGAATGTTCTTGTTAGCCTGCATTGTGAGAGTATCTTCTGTGGAAGGGGCACAGTTACATGCATAGCTGGTTAGAGAATTCAACAGATGTGACAGACAAAATCCTGCCTCTTAGGATGTTGTGATCACCACACCTCCATGATTCTGTATATGTATTTAATGAAAACAAATGTAATAACAGGCACTCTCCTTCAAGCTCTGGAAATCTGGAGTCTCAATGAAACACTTGTCTGGATCCCAAAGAAAAATCCCATACTATTTTTTGAGGAAAATGTTGGCCTTTCCCATAAGTTTCCTTGTAGGACATTCCCATAAAAAGATTAACATGTGGCATCTATCAAATTATTCATCTTCCACATCCACAAAAATGACCTTAAAGCTGGGAGTTTTTGACATCTCTCCATGTGAGTTTTGTGCAGCATTCTACAGGGAAGGAAGAGGATTTTATGGTTAAATATGTTTGCAAAACAATGCAAAATCTTGGAGATTTGCCATATACATTAGCATCACAAAGGGTTCTAGAAGAAAGCACTATCTTTGACCACAAATCCCTTCTTTTAGAATACTTATTGACATCCCACAGAACTGCTAGTCCCTACGGGAAATGCTGATCTGAGGCCATGACTCAGGAACCTGGCTGCTCATCACACTTGGTAGGGACACCTTTTAATACAGAGCTTTCTGGCCTCACACCAGAGGTGCTGAGTCAGATTCTTCTGAGTCTGAAGAAAAGCTTAAGAAGCTTCCTGGCTGATTAGATTATCAGCCAGGTGTGTAATCAGCCAGGTGTGAGGCCACAAATCCAAAGGATAGATGATAGTCTCCATTGCTCAAAGTTACACTTTGCTTCATTACTTTAGCTCCCTGCAAAACATATTTGCATATTCTGCCCTTGCCTTTTTGTGAGGTTTTCCATGTGACAACCCACACAAACTGCTTCCCAGTTTGCTTTAAGATCAAATATCACTGTCATTTCTGTTTATATAAGTTCTCACACTTGAAATGTCTAGTAGAATTTAGTGTCAAGCATCTATCAAATCATTGATCTTCAATATCTGATCACAAAAACTATATAAAATGAGCCAGGTACAGTGGGTCACAGCACTTTGGGACACCAAGGTGGAAGGAACACTTACGGCCAGAAATTCAATATCAGCCTACGCAGCATAGCAAGACTCAAGTTTCTTTTTTTTTGAGACGCAGTTTCACTCTTGTTACCCAGGGTGGAGTGCAATGGCGCAATCTCGGCTCACTGCAACCTCCGCCTCCTGGGTTCAGGCAATTCTCCTGCCTCAGCCTCCTGAGTAGCTGGGATTAGAGGCACGCGCCACCATGCCCAGCTAATTTTTTGCATTTTTAGTAAAGACGGGGTTTCACCATGTTGACCAGGATGGTCTCGATCTCTTGACTTCGTGATCCACCCGTTTCTACAAAAAAAATTTAAAAATTAGCCGGGTGTGGTGGCTACCACACCTGTAGTCCCAACAAAACCTAGTTCAAAGTTTCAGTGAGGTATGATTATGTCACTGCACTCCAGCTTGGGCAACAGAGCGAGAAGTGTCTTTAAAGAAATATTTTTAAATTCTTGGCTGGGCACAGTGATCCCAGCAATTTGGTGGCCAAGGTGGATTGCTTGAGCCCAGGAATTAGAAAACAGCCTGGGCAACATGGCGAAACCCCATCTCTACCAAAAAGTTAAAAAAAAATTAGCCAGGCTTAATGGTATACACCTGTAGTCCCAGCTATTCAAGAGGTTGAAATGGGAGGATCACTTGAGTATAAGAAGCAGAGGTTGCAGTGAGCCAAGATTGTGCCACTATACTCCAGCCTGGGTGATAGTGAGACCCTGTCTCGAAAAAAATTATCAGTAATTGTATATGTTTCACTTTATTCCCAGACTACCAGGGAATTCAGTCAAATCTGATGCTTCATTATAGCAAACATACCAGATCTCATAGTTATCAGGTGTGGCAGGTATGCTGCTTTTCCTTTCTATTTTATTAACCAGATACACACACAGACACATGTATACACATACCTGTGTGTTTATTAAAAATTATACTATTGATGAAGAGAAAGTAAATACCATTTCATCTTCTAGAAGACAGTATATAGCAGGAAAGACAAAGAACTCTGAATTCAGTGAGGAAAGAAAAGGTTCACAACACTGGGAGAGTGACATGGATTTTCAGCCTGTGCCATGGAGATTAACATGCTTGGCTTAAACTGAAGGTGGACATTCCCACTTTCTCCCAACCTTAAATGTAAAGTATCATCATGACAGTGACCAACCGGGCATCCGTGATCTCTTGGATTTCTAAGCTGCCTTTGACTTTAATTTGTGTCATCCAGGTGGAGTAGCTGAAATATCTGAGAAGGAATTATTCAGAGTAGGCTTGTTTCTCTACACGAAGGAAAATAACGTATCTGTCCCGATATCTGAATCATTTACATCTTTGATTCTTCAAACTTATTCTCAGAAAATTATCTTAGTGAGATGGTTCATTGTACAATTAGGCTTTATTACTTGATTTTTTTGAGTATTCCGTGGACACATTTGTACTCTGTTTCATAGAAGGGAAGATGATTCTCTGTGGAGCTTCTCACCAAGTCTAAACCAATGGTAACAATTGAGGTTAATCTACAACGGGTCAGGGTGACTTGATTTAGAATTATTTATACTGATTTAAAAAAAAAACAAACCCAAAACCTACTGTGTACCTTTTATTCAATGGGAATGATGGTGGTTAACTTTCAGAGTAAACATGAACATTTAAAGAAAAAGCAACAAATCAAAGCATAGTAAAGTAGAGTAAACAGAATAGTGAAGTAGCAAACAGTAAAGCAGTAAAAGGTCCTCTGGACTAGAGATGCTCCAAAATTTCTTATCCATTTTCTTTTCATGTGCTCTTGTCCTTACTAAAAGGAATTGTTATTCCTGATGAGAAATTCGTTCTCAATAAAAGCTGAATTTTTCCCAACTGTATGTCACCTGTAAGCAAACACACAAACCAAGAGAAATAGAACATGAGGCTTATTCTTCCCTCAGTTCATGTCATAGCTCAGGGTTTTGCACATTAAAAATGCTCAATCCTTGTTGACTTGATCAATCCTGCCAGTAGCATCAGCTGTTTCCTGCATACATAAATATTTTTAAATATTTTTTGAACCTTTCACATAATGCTGTAAACTTGATGGGAAAGGCAAAGCTTTTGTTTCTTCTCTTCACAGGACAGAAGAAAGGCAGTTCTGGATTGGATTTAATAAAAGAAATCCACTGAATGCTGGCTCATGGGAATGGTCTGATAGAACTCCTGTAAGTCTTTTCAAACTGGAGAAAAGGGATGGATTCAAAACAAGTGGCCCTGAAACCACTTGATGAACCAACCAAGAGAAGCTAGAAATGATGACCAGAGCTCCCATGACAAAACTGCACCAGACCTTGGTACCAGGAGAATTATTTTGGCAAGGTCCTGGGAAATCTTTGCTAGCCACATTGTTCTGAGGCCACTGTACAATCTCAGCCTGAAAAAGTATCAAAAACCTCTGAAAAGTCTCCCCAAACGATCCTGAAAAAGAATTAAAAACCTCCAAAAAGTCTCTCCAAACCATCCTGAAAAAGAATCAAAAACCTCTCAAAAAGTCTCCCAAACCATCTCCCATATGAGGTGTCTCTCTGGCAGAGAAGCAGCTGTTCTTTAAAATAACACAATACTCCCTTTACCCTATACCTCCCTATCCTGCATGGCACCTGATTTTCTGAGTATGGGAACCTTGCCCATGTCACAATGAAATGGAGATTATTTTGGAGAATGATTTTTTGTTTATCTCACTCTAAAAGGACAGTAATGCCAGCTTTAGAAATATCACCTTCTCAATCATAGCAAGTTGTTCCAGAAGAAAAAAAGTCTTCCTTTTCACTCATCCTCACACTTGCAAACTTCTGTGAAGGACACAGAGAACTCACTATTGCATTTTTTTTTTTCAGGTGCAAAGGGTAATTCTCACATTTTTCTCGAAATAGCAGGGATGAAACTGAAGTAGTATCCCAGATTGAAGTAGGATCTATCCTAGGGCACAAGAAAAATCACATTATTCACTTTCACCTGTGAAATGGGGAAACTCATAAGAGCCTGCAGTGAGCATTTGATGTAACTCCTGTTTACTGAGCCCTTATACTATTCTAAGCACTGAGCTGAATGAATGCCTACATGATCTTATTTCATCCTTACAATAACTCAGTGTCAAGGGTATTAGAATGATTAAGTGGTTTGTCTAAAATAATACATAGGAGGCTGGGCGCGGTGGCTCAAGCCTGTAATCCCAGCACTTTGGGAGGCCGAGGTGGGTGGATCACGAGGTCAACAGATCAAGACCATCCTGGTCAACATGGTGAAACCCCGTCTCTACTAAAATTGCAGAAAATTAGCTGGGCATGGTGGCGCATGCCTGTAATCCCAGTTACTCAGGAGGCTGAGGCAGGAGAATTGCCTGAATCCAGGAGGCGGAGGTTGCGGTGAGCCGAGATCGCGCCATTGCACTCCAGCCTGGGTAACAAGAGCGAAACTCCATCTCTAATAATAATAATAATACATAGGAAAGCCAGGATTTGCACACAAGTTGTCTGACTCCAAAGTCACAATGTTACAATATCTCATGGTTGGCAAAATATCAGTAGCCAAACTTTGAAGTAGTAAAGAGCAATAGAGGAAGCCACGTACCAAGATGGTGTTCAAATTTGTGTTGAGGAAAAGGTGTATATAAGAGAGTAGGAAGAGATTTTAAAGGTCACTCAGTCCCACTAATCTATTTTCTGATAAAGAAATCAAGTCTCAGAAAACAGAAAAGGCATAGCAGGGTCAACTTTCCCCGTAAATGGCAGCCACTACATGGAACAGCTGGGTGGTTCAAGTCAATATAGCACTTGAAAAAGAAAATGTGTTACATAGAGGTTGAGAATGCTTCCTTTTGTTTTAGTATAACAAACTCATTAGCAATAAGAGAGGATAGACATTTTGGGTCAGAATAAATAAGATAAGGCCATAAAGCAGTGGCTGAGCTTCTCACCAATCTCTGCTGGACAAAATGAATTCAAATCACACCATTTTCTGAACCCGAGGCTATATATATTTAAGTTAGATGAATTGTTGCATGATGGTATACATGTTCGAGGAGGAATATAAAGGATTTGAAAACATCCTTTTTTTCCCCAAATTTTTACCCTAATTTTACTTGTGGTACATCATTCTTCTGTGAGTCAGTCATTAAATATTTGAGAAGGTTGAGTCTTTAATTCTCCTGTAATATGAATTATATGAGTTATGTGGTCACTCATGGATAGTGACGTGATAGATTCCTGATTAAAGCTAGCTATGGCTTAGAATCTAGTTATTAGAGAAAAAAAGCTTAGTATATGTGCCAACTAATCAAAATCAAAGTTAATATGAAGATCTGACACACCCCTGAGTCCCTAAGAAGTTTACCCAGGACCCTAAGCTGGAAAATGTTCCCAGTTAGAAAAATGTGCAAGTTCAGACCAAAGCTTCATTTGATTTGTTCCTTCTAGAGAAAGGAGTAGCGTACCTTTTTTTTTTTAAGCATCTTTAAGAAAAAAATGCTAAATATTGATTAGCTTGTTCTTCACAAATGTGAAACAACCTTCAACTAGAATGGCATCCAGACATTTCCGAAGCTTCTAGTAGAAGCCTGCAATGCTTATGTACAAGGGATGCCTTTTTTGATCTTTGGAAACTTTGTGGGGGAGCATCATTAAGGAATAACGAATCTTATCTGCTGCAGGTTGTCTCTTCATTTTTAGACAATAATTATTTTGGAGAAGATGTGAGAAACTGTGCTGTTTATAAGGCAAACAAAACACTGCTGCCTTTACACTGTGGTTCCAAACGTGAATGGATATGCAAAATCCCAAGAGGTAAAAACAGTAATAAGATCTTTGTTGTATGTTTGATTTCTAATAATCTCTAGTACTTTCCCAAGTAAAGGATTACAGAGAAGTAAAATGTAAGCACCCCAAACCACCATATCAACAACCTGCATGATGAACCCAATTGCACTATTTTAGCAAAAAATATTTCTATAGTAAATGAGAGAAAGTGACACCAATGCAATATGCCAAGTGAGTTATTTGGGAACTAAAGTAACCAGCTAATATTGCAGAATATTTATAGTGCAAGTACAGTCTGGGAGAAATGTCACTTTGACATTACAAAGCAAACAGGATACTTGTAAAATGAGTAAGTGGAAGCACCTAGTGCAGCGTGTGACACACAGTGGGCCCTCAGCAAGTGCTCATGTCCTTCCTTCTTTAATCAGAAGCCTCTCTGGAGCCCCCTCTTCAAGTATGAGAACTCACCACATATTCCAGACAGCACAATGTACCTGTTTTAAAATGATATTTTAAAAGATGAAGGACAAAACAGTGTGTTTAGAGCTGAAGTAATTCACAGACAATGCACTTGAGAAGCTAGATCAGTCAAGGTGATTTGCTTTCACTTTGCAGATGTGAAACCCAAGATTCCATTCTGGTACCAGTACGGTAAGAACTAGTCTGGCAGTTCTTGAATTTCTAATTATTAATATATACTTTACAAGTACTCCTATATACCATGTGTTGTTAGATTTCTCAAACCGAGCCTCTCTTTTCTTGTGTCAACCTAGAGCTAATTTGTTTAAATTAATAATTAATAAATGTAGTCATTAAGTATGTTTAAGAACTAGTATCTTCAATCATTTTTATGACATGTGATTTTATAGTATGTATCTATCCCTGACCTTTAAATCAGTGAAGGTATCTTGTAAGAGATAGACCAAGGAAAATAAGCAAGTTATATATCTATTTATGTGCATATGTGTCTGTGTGTGTGTGTCTGTGTGTGATGTGTGTGTGTTCAAATTCATGAGTGTGTATATATATAATTTTTTTTAGTGCTGAGTGACCAAATAATAATTTGGGGTCAATCTTAGCATACCTATTTAAATCTGCACTCTCTCAATGAAGTTGGCAATATTTTCACTGTTTCTTTTTCTTTCAGATGTACCCTGGCTCTTTCATCAGAACGCAGAATACTTTTTTCATAACTTTGCCTCAGAATGGTCTAACTTCGAGTTTGTCTGTAGCTGGCTACACAGTGATCTTCTCACAATTCATTCTGCACAGGAGCAAGAATTTATCCACAGCAAAATAAAAGCGGTACTTCAACATAATTCATCATAAAAAATTCAAAGTTTAGCACCTTCTTTTGTCCTAAAAGAACAAAAGAAGTTTCTTTGCGGGGGATGAGGGGGTGGGGAGGGATAGTTTTTTTTTTATTTCACTTCAGACATTTATTTAAATTTCAGTAAAAGCCATAGATCTCTGAGAATTGTTTTCCTCCCTGTTATAGAGATTAAGAGAAAATCACGGAGATACAGGTTTACTGTATTGCTCTGTCATTTCACTTCTCTTCATTCTTTGTTAGCAGTAATGGTGAGTAAGTCGAGATTGTTTCATGAGGTTCATTCAAGCATTCAACACATATTTATTAATACCCTTCTAGGAATTAGGGTTCTGTCAGTGATTAAAACAGACACAAATTCCTCTATCTTCATGGAGTTTATATTCTTGTCTGGGAAGAAAGACCATAATCAATACAAGTAAATAGAATTATATAATATATTAGAAAAAAATAAGTGGATAAATGCCACAGGAAAAAGATTAAGCTCAAATGAGGGATGAGGAATACTTGGGAGGTACCTGGCAGTTTTAAAGTTTCAAATCTTACGAAAGTACATTATTCTTAAGTTTGTAAAGACTAATATACAGAAAATAGTAAGGAGTAGTTTACCATTTCAACTTAAGCTAAAGAAAGGCTACTTAATTCCTTGCAGAACTAAGCTAGTAAGAAACATGCAAGACCTATTGGATAGTAAAATAAACTAGCAAAGAATAGTATACTTTTCAGTGTGTTCCTTCAATAAGCATTTATTATCAAGTATGTGCCAGGCACTGGGATATTTGTCAAAGATGCAAAAATGTATGAGATGCAAGTCTCTGTTTTCAAAAAGGCTAGGTATATATACTTTAAAACATCATGTTGTACACAATAAATACATACAATTTTATGTCAATTTTTAAAACATAAATTAAATTAAAAATGATAAAGAAAGTGGAAGTGATGTGATGTAGCAAGTGAAAAGGGCGCATGTACAAATTATGGTGGGGGCATTAAGGAGGGAAATCCTCACTTCCAACTTTCCCCTGGAAACCTCTGAAAGCAAGAAAAGGCCATTTTCTTTTCCTATAATTTAATCACATTTCAGAATCTTCAGGAATCCTTCCTAGCTCTATCATCCTTTTATATCTTTGTAAGTTCACTAGAAAATGAGGCCCTGTATTAAAGCATCCTAGGCTTGAAAAAGAAATGTCTTTCCTCACAGTTCATGGGGATTTAGTGTCTCTGTGTCCTGTCTGTTGCACAGACAGCCCACAAGGTACAAGCAAGTTGTGACTCCTATCACATTCTGATGGAAAAGCCAAGAAAAAAGCTAGGTGACAATCACATGGTCTCACAGACACTCAGTGGCAGAACAACCATTAGATCTGGAATGCTCCCCACCATAAATATGTACACTATTTTGTCACCTTTCCACTCTTACAAATGGAACACTCGAGCAAAAACCATAATGTTCAATATGAGCATGTTCAATTGCATACCACGATGTCAGAAAGTATCCTGAGTAGCTGAAATTACAGGCATGTACCACCATGCCTGGGTAATTCTGTATTTTTAATAGAGATGGGGTTTCTCCATGTTGGTCAGGCTGGTCTCAAACTCCTGACCTCAGGTGATCCACTTACCTCAGCCTCCCAAAGTGCCAGGATTACAGGTGCGAGCCACCTTGCCAGACCAAAAACACACATTTCTTTAGCCAGACACCATACTCTTACCTCAGAGGGCAGTAACAAGAGACCAGATGAATGGCTGAAAACTAATCTATGGGCACACAAAGTGCACATCCCAAAAAGAGCTGATATTTGGCCATACTTACCATAACTGTGTCAGGTACTATGAGTACTAAAATGTAATTTTTCCAAGAACCCTCTGTGGGAAGTCTATTATTGGTACATTTTACAAGTGAGGAGGCTAAGACTTCGAAGAGGTTAAGCAACTTGGTTACACAGCAGCTAAATGGCTGAATTTGGAAAGAAACCCAGGCCATCTTATTTATCTAGTCATTTAAAAACCCTACTTGGTGCTGCCTGTGACAGTGGAACAGCAGTATCAGGGCATGTAAGAGCATGATGTCTTCATGACATCAAAGTGCTAGTCCCAAAATCCTCCCCAAAAGATGGCTGCCAGCTCTGTCTCAGACATGAACAATGAAGGGATTCTTTGATCTTTCCAGCAGAGCTAAGCTCTATTGGGAACTTCTGTAGATCTTCTGTCTTCACCTTTCCTCTTAATTCGTCTCCTAATATTTGGAAATTGAGAAGCCAATGGGGCTGGTAGAGTTAATGACTCCCATAGAAGGGAAGGGTGAAACCCCACAGGTTGAGCCGTTTGAGTCATCATAGCCACTCCCATGGTTTAATTGAGGATTCTGATCTCAAATCAGACAAATGTTATGGTGCCTTACATGGCAAAATTGTCACCCAGTCTATGGCCATGTTGATGTAGAATGCCCTGTCAGTTTCATGGGTAAGCTGCTGACTGATCTCCTTACTGTGCTACAAAAGAAAATTATGGGAAGGTATACGATTTAACTACTGAGAACAGGGCCAGGGGACTGTCTTAGTGTTTTCAGGCTGCTATAACAAAGCACTATAGACTATGCAGCTTACAAATGACAGAAAATTATTGCTCACAGTTCTGAAGGCTGGAAACCCAAGATCCAGGCATTGGCAGATCTGATGTTTGGTGAATGCCTACTTCTTCCTGGTTCATATGTATCCTTACATAGGGGAAGAGGCGAAGGAGCTCTTCAGAGCCCCCTCTTAAGGGTGCTAATCCCATTCATGAGCCCTCCTCAACCCTCATGACCTTATCACCTGCCAAAGGCCTTACCTGGTAATATATCACCTTGGGAGTTAGTATTTCAACATTTAAATTTAAGGGGCCACAAACATTTAGTCTATAGCAGGGGCCAAAGGAAAACAGTGTCAAATTAGAAAGAAGAAAGCTGTTGCTTTCCAAGAAATTCATATTTCTGCATAATTTGTGCCTACTTTGGGCACATGGTGGTGGTGATAGTGGTGTTCATAGTAACCATGCACATTTCGTAAGAAACCCCATATCTAAGAATGTACTACTGGAATGGGTCAATCAATACAGAAAGTATTTCATTCCAGGATGAGGAGCAAGATGTGTAGAGGTCATTCCACTCACTTTTGTCTCAGATCTCTCTTATAAATGTAGGAAGAGGACAAATAAGTAATTTAATATTTTTTTAAATTGCATGTGTTTTGTATAGCTCCCCTAAGAAGAGCAGTGATTAGAATTGTGAAAAACAAAAACAACATTTAGTTCCAGTGTCAAAAAAATTAATTATGAACAAGGAAGCTAGATACAGTTTTAAAAATCTGAAGCAAATAAAATTTTAATAAAATATTTCCATCTTGGAAAAAGAATGTTAATGTTTTCTCTCTCACTCTTTGAGTAACAGAAGACAATAAAGCATGATCAGAGTAAATTTATTTTTTGAGCCATCTCGATAATCACATTAATGCTGAAAAAATGCTGCAAGCATTTTAGGAGTTTTTGACGCAAACTACTAGCTAATTAGTCCATTTGCCTGACATTTTTACACTGTTATGCAGTATTATCATTTTGAAATGGCAATTACCATTATTATTAAATTTTTATTTCTAAATGTTTCTTAAAATGCATATCAAATCTATTAGTCTTCCTCCAAAATATCATTTTGTCATTCTTAATGGGAACATTTTAAAAGATGACAGGTTGTTCTTTCTTATATTGCTTTATGGATTAATATATTGACTGTCACTTGGGGGTTTTGTTTGTTTTTGGTAAATGCTGTTTCCATATGATGCTAACTATAATGGCAATTTGTATATACCAAAATGTAGTTGATGTTATTAAAATGCATGTTCATATGACATTTTTTAAGCCCTGAGCTTACTTCTCTATCACAGTTCTTTATGCAAATACATATTAATAATTCTTTCTTTTGCTGTGACCTTCCAAAGCTATAATTTCAAACATCCACTTTTCATATTGGATGTTCCATTCTGGGTATCTTCTAGCTTGTCCTATGAAGTTCGGTTCTGTGCCATATCACAACAGGTTGTGATGTGCCACATGGAGATTACCATGCCATAATTGAGGTGGTAATAAATATGCCACTTAACATGCAGCAGTTATAATTTCTCTTTAGAGGTCCTTAATTGGGGCAGCGAACAATCCAGGTCATGATTTTCAGTCCTGTAGCACATGAAATCTCTTTAGATTGAATGAAATTGTTGTGGTTCCCCCACTGAGTTCACAACGAGTCTCAATGGACCCATTCCAAAGTCTGACAATGGGAATCTGAATTCAGCATGTAAGAACACGTCTGCAAAACAACACCTCAGGGATCCAAAATTGCAGTTGTTCCTTCTTGCATTATTCTCAAATTGTGGATATGACAAACAGCCATATTGTTTACAGAATAAAAATACCTGTTTATAAATTAGATTGTTAAAGGGCTATTGGGTTCTGTTGTATGGAGAGCTAAAATTACTATGGAAAAATAATATATTGTAAAATTTTTTCCCCAGTCTTTACAGAAGAAGTGAGAGTAAAAATTTAAATATATAATGCTTTCAAATTAACACGATTTTAGCATATAAAAATTAAGTTACAGTTCAACACACACACACACACAACATTAAATATACTGATTTACAGGTCTTAGAAAAATCCTTACTGCCTCTTTCTCTTTCATAGTTAAAGAGGGAATTGCAATATCCTGGATCATAAGTCAGTATTACATCTGCCCTAATGTGTGTGTGTGTGCGTGTGTGCACATACATGCACATGGTGATTTAATTTTATACTTTATTGTACTTGGGTCCAAGTGATTAATAGTGGTGTAACATTAATAAAATATAAAACGATAATTTTCTTTGTCGTTGTTGTTCTATTTCCTTACTAATTTTTACTATCTTTATTCTGAACACCACAACATTACTCATACAACCTCAGATTAAGTGGGCGTTTTGGTTGGTGGTAACTATATCACTCTGTTAACATAGAATTTATAATCTAAAATTCCAATTTTTTGTTATAGAGTTTGAAGTTATATTATGAAGTACATATTTTGAAATGTGTTCCTGTTGATACATGTAAATCTGGTTCCCTTTTTTTATTATACTTTAAGTTCTGGGATACATGTGCAGGTTTGTTATATAGGTATACACATTCCATGGTGGTTTGCTGCACTCATCAATCCATCATCTACATTAGGTATTTCTCCTAATGCTATCACTCCCCTATCCCCCCATTCCCCGACAGGCCCCAGTGTGTGATATGCCCCTCCCTGTGTCCATGTGTTCTCATCATTCAACTCCCACTTATGAGTGAGAACATGCAGTGTTCGGTTTTTTGTTCCTGTGTTAATTTGCCAAGAATGATGGTATCCAGCTTCATCCATGTCTCTGCAAAGGACATGAACTCGTCAAAAGGATAATTTTCTAGTTGTCAAACAATGGGCATTCTGTAGTATTCTTTTGTCCTATATTGTGTCTCTCTATATGGATGCGGAGGAATGCTTACACTGTTTAAAGCTTAACAATCAGACTAATACCTAAAATTCAGTATCTTTATACTAATGATGCCTTGATACCTTGAATTGTTTTCAACTACATGTGACATATGCAGTGAATTATAAATCACTGAAAGGGTAAATCACTAAGAGGGTAAGCCAATAAATTTTTGTCAGGAAATAAATTAATTTTCTGTTTTATTTTATTTTATTTTATTTTAAAAGTATAATATTACTTTTAAAATCCTTATAGGGTTAGAAAAAATACTTTTCAAGTTGTATGAAACTAGAATTATTTTCCATGTTTGATTCCAGTTTTTCTTCATAACGAGGAGGAAATATTTTAGAATAATTAAGCTTCAGGTTTTCTCATGATGCTAGGCCTTGGTATACTCTTCCTTAGAAAATTGGGTAATATAATGAAGAATAGAAAGCTATTAACAGCAACCCCATTAATCTTAATAGCAAAAAAAGGAAAACAAGTGGAATAAATGCTGACTTTTTTCTCTTTCTTTTAATAGCTATCAAAGTATGCTGCAAGTTGGTGGATTGGACTTCAAGAAGAAAGAGCCAATGATGAATTTCGGTATGAACCTAGGTTCATTTGCATTTAATTTTGTTTGAAGAGTTTTATTTGCAGAATGATTGGATTCGATTTTAGTGATCAATTTCAAACATTATATTTAACTTATAAAATTTTGTTTCTCTAACCAAACACATGAGTGTTTTTTAAAGTATACCCTCATGAAACCATCACAACAATCTAGCCAAAAACTTATCCATCACCTCCAAAAGCTTCCTCCTGCCCTATTTATTTATTTATTTACTTATTCACTCATTCATTCATTTTTGTGATGAGAACACTTAACATAAAACTTACCCTCTTACCTGGGCAAGATGGCTCACATCTGTAATCCCAGCACTTTGGGAGGCCGCGGTGGATGGATCACCTGAGGTCAGGAGTTCAAGACCAGCCTGGCCAACATGGAGAAACCCCGTCTCTACTAAAAATACAAAAGTTAGCCAGGTGTGGTGGTGCACACCTGTAGTCCCAGCTACTTCGGGGGCTAAGGCAGGAGAATTGCTTGCACCTGGGAGTCAGAGGCTGCAGTGAACCAAGATCGTGCCACTGCACTCCAGCCTGGGTGACAGAGCAAGACTCCATCTCAAAAAAAATCTACAGCCTTGGAAAACTTTTAAGTATATGATACAGTATTATTAACTATAGGCACCATGCTACATATGATTTTTTTTCAATTTAATAGACTATGATACCTTAATCCCTACCTGAGAACTCTAAGAATGATGTTGGAGACTGGACATGCAGAATGAGAGACCTTAACATTTTTAATCTTCCTACAGCTGGAGAGATGGAACGCCAGTGATATACCAGAACTGGGACACAGGAAGAGAAAGAACTGTGAATAACCAGAGCCACAGATGTGGCTTTATTTCTTCCATAACAGGTTATTTTACTTATCCATTTTTGGGTTTATAATACAAAGTGATAATTTTCAGGAGGCTTAAAGTCTTTTCCATGCATCATTTCCATGAGAAGTTTCTGTTTATTTCTCTTTTTAGTTGATATGTTTAGTTTTGTCTGCCATAAGGCTTAAGGATGGCCGTTCCTTCTGTTCAATGCATGTACTCATGTTCTTGAAAATAATTTACATCTGGATAAGTCCTTCCTCAGAAATCAAAACAGCACCAGAAATGGGCCCAATGAAACTGTTAAAAAATATATGGCTGAAAAATACTTTTCTCTATGAAATTTCAATGTGAGCACTTTAAAAATATATATATATTCCTAGTATCCAATTTATAATTGGCCGGAACTTTGGCCTCTGTGAAATTCACTTCCATTTTTCTATTTAATAAATGTTTTGATTCAAGTAAATATTCTTTTTTTCTTTTAATACCTGGCATCAATTGCTGCCTGACTTAGAAAGGCAATTGTTTGCAAGTTGGATTTAGAAGCACATTCAGGTTAAAGACTGGATTTTAAATTCTCTTCATCAGTGCAGTGTAGTTAGGTTGATTGTCCACTCATGCCCCTTCTTTCTAAACAATAAAAGATAACAATATCTGCTACTCTAACAGATTCATAACTAACCTGTGCCCTAGGCCAGGAAAGGGATAAACATGGAAAATAATTTTGGATATGAGGGCCTCTGCAGAGACTTAGGAAAGGAAAATCTGTGTGGTTAATCAGCTTGCTTTTACCAGCAGGTGTCACAACAGCCTACAGAAAGCACTGTTTTGAGAGTCTGGGAGAATGGCAGCTAATCTGCATTGAAAATAGCATTCCAGCCCTTCCTTCAAAGTGCCAACATCTTTTGGCTCATATTTCTGATCTAGAAAACTGAGCCTGCCCTTGCAATTGGCATGCATTCTGCCCTGTTCTGGAATTTATGACTTGGATGCCAACAAAATGCATTCTATAATCCTTATTCTGAAAATATAGCTCTTCTAAATTAAAAGAAAAAGTTTGTCAGAGGCTATATGTGAGTCTGTTTTATTTAAGGGTCAGTATTAAGAAATCCTATTTTCTTGAAAGTTTTTGAGTTAATTTTTCTAAATTATTATATTTTCTAAAGAATTATAAAGTAGGAATTATCTACTGTTTTAGAATCTTTCCTCTCTGCACATTGAAGCTGAAGGGTTTAAAATGAAATAGTTACCCTACAAAGTATTCTTTTGCCACACAAGTCAAATATTCTTAGGACTTTAATCAGTTCTATATTCCAATTGCTGAATTTATTTAGATTTTTTTTAATTTGCAAAATTTCTACATTCTTAAAATTACTGATTTGGCCCCTTGCCCAGTTAGCTGTTATCCTTACAGAACTCTATGATCAGTAGTTTAGTTCAGTTTCTAGATTTTAAAAAATAAATGATGAAAAACCATAGCAGTCATAAAATTAGTGATCAATAGAGAATGCCTTCAAAGAGTCACCATCGTGTCTAAGCCATTTCTAACCCATTTTCTCCTCCAGGACTCTGGGGTAGTGAAGAGTGTTCAGTTTCTATGCCTAGTATCTGTAAGCGAAAAAAGGTTTGGCCAGTAGAAAAAAAGGAAGATACACCTAAACAACATGGAATGTGCCCCAAAGGATGGCTATATTTTAACTATAAGGTAAGCTTGTCTTTCAAAAGTTGCCTTTGTTTTTCTTTTGTAGACACTAATTTTGGAAAGCGTTCAAAAGTGAAAGTGGCTTTTAAAAGCTATGAGTTGCCCATAGGACCTGGAATTTTTTTGTCACAATTTTCAAGAAATTTTAGTTTTCCCATTTAGTAACAAAGCTTTTAGAACAACAAAAAATTTTGTCAAAAACAGTCTGGACACTACTCCTCATTTCTTTTCTTTTTTTTTGTTTTTTTGAGATGGGAGTCACTTTTTTGCCCAGGCTGGAGTGCAATGGCACGATCTCGGCTCACTGCAACCTCTGCCTCCTGGGTTCAAGCGATTCTCCTGCCTCAGCCTCCTAAGTAGCTGGGAATACAGGCACCCACTACCACACCCAGCTAATTTTTGTGTTTTTAGTAGAGAGGGGTTTCATCATACTGGCCAGGCTGGTCTCGAACTCCTGACCTTGTGACCCGCCCATCTCGGCCTCCCAAAATGCTGGGATTACAGGCGTGAGCCACCATGCCACTATACCTAGTTTTACCATTGGCATAGTCATTTATTATGCTGTGTGAATATTTCATTAGATGTGACATATGTATTTATGCATATGTGTGTATTCGTGTGTGTGTGTGCACATGTTTACGTATGTGCCTGCATGCCTGTGTGTCTAGGTTCTGCTCCCAAATAAGTTTTAAGTTCCAGAGGACCCAGACTCCATCTCCTTGTCTTGTGTTTTCCCTGCCTGGAGCCAGCATAGAGCTCTGCCTACGAGTGAATTGAGTGAATAGTAACTTAGCTTGGTCAATGTCATCTTAGCCTCATAAAGCTAGTGCTTCCATACAGAATTGAATTAAGAAAAAAAAAAATTGCCAGTGGGGATATTTTAAACCAGATTTCTTATTTCTGATGCTGCCTTCAATTAAGGCTTAGACTTTCCCTCCACTCCTTATATTTTATAATAAAATAACTTTATAGGCCTTAGGTGGAAGTTATTAAAATGCATCCCGAATTATAATTGTTTAACTCTTAGAAAACTAAAGAACCCAAACTGTGTCATCATTTCATATGCTAATATGAAATTCCTCTTCAATTGTGGACAGCCAATTTTTAATCTAAGTGTTCAGTTATATTGGCAGGGCTTTCTCTCCTTTGTGATCTTTCTCTCACTGTTATTTGAGAAATGAGGCCACCTGGATTTTTCACACATTCATTGAGTACCCACTAAATATTTGGCAGTGATTTTTAAACTTTTTAAAATTGTGTAAAATACATACAATATAGAATTCACCATTCTAGCCATTTTTGTTTACTGTTTACTAGTGTTAAGTATCATATATTCACATTGTCATTCAACAAATCTCCAGACCTTTTCCATCTTGCAAAACTGAAACTCTACCCAGGAGTGTAGAGTTTTTTTAGTTTGCAAAATGCCTACATTCTTAAATTAAAATTACCAATTTTGCCACTTGCCCAGTTAGCTGTTGTCCCTAGAGAACTCTATGATCAGTAGTTTAGTTCAGTTTCTAGATTTTAAAAAATCCATGATGAAAAACCATAGCAGTCATAAAATTAGTGATCAATAGAGAATGCCTTCAGAGTCACCACTGCCTAAGCCATTTCTAACCTATTTTCTCCTCCAGTTAACGACTCCCTTTTCTTCCTACCCTGAACTCCTTTGACAACTACTCTTCTACTTTCTGTGTCTTTAAACTTGACTACTTCAGATACCTCAAGTAAGTGGAATCAGACAGTATTTGCCTTTTTGTGACAGGCTTATTTCACTTAGCATGATGTCCTCAAAGGTCATTGACACTGGCATGTGACAGGACTTCCTTTAGACAGTTGGACAATATTTCATTATATGGATATACTACATTTTGTTTATCCATTCATCCATTGTGACTATTTGAGTTGCTTCTCCTCTTAGCTAATTGATTTTATATATTTCTTCTATCACTGAATTTTAAAAATATATACAATTGCTCTCCCCATTTTACATATGAGAAGACTGATGCTAACAAAATTGTGTGTCTTTTCTGAAACTTTACAGTGGGTAAGTATCAGGCCAAGAAGCACATTTTTTTTGACCCCGAGTCTGGTGTCTTGCCCCTTTCCAATGCCTGCCACTTCACATTGGAACTTAAGGACTCACTCCAGAAATGCAAATTAAAACAACAATGAGTGATTTGCCACTGCGAATCTACTAGAATGGCCCAAATCCAGAGCACTGACAACACTACATGCTGGCAGGGAAGCAGAGCAACAGGAGGTCTCATTCATTCCTGGTGGGAATGCAGAATGGTGTGGCCACTGTGGAAGGCAGTTTGGCAGTTTCTTACAAAACTAAACATACCTGTGATTCAGCAATCACACTCCTTAGTATTTATGTTGGAATTGAAAACTTACATACACGGGGGCCGCAGTGGCTCCGGCCAGATGTCCTGGCGCTTGAGGATGCGAGGCCATGAGTTCAAGGCCAACCTGAGCAACGTTACAAGCTCTCATTGATTACCAAAAAAAAGAAAACTTACATACACATAAAAACCTGTACATGGATATTTATAACATCTTTATTCTTAATTGCCAAAACTCGGAAGCAACCAAGAAGTCCTTAGTAGGTGAATGGATAAACTGGTACACTCACACAACGGAATATTATTCAGTACTAAAAATAAATTAGCCATCAAGCCATTAAAAGACATTGAAGAAACGTAAATTCATATTACTAAGTGAAAGATGCCAATCTGAAAAGGCTACCATACTGTATGATCCCAACTATATGACATTCTGGGAAAGATAAAACTATAGAGACAGTAAAAAGAACAGTGGTTGCCAGGTGTTACAGGGAGGGAAGGAAGAAGTTGTAGAAGATTGTCAGGTCAATGAAAATTCTCTATATGATACCACAATGGTGTGTGCTTGTCATTAGACATATGTACAAACTCATGGAATATACAACCCAAAGAGTGAACCCTAAAGTAAACTATAGACTTTGGATGGTTATGATGCGTTAATGCAGGTTCATTGGTTGTAACAGACGTATCATTCTGGGCTGATGGGACATGATGATAATGGGGGAGGCTGTGTATGTGTGGTTCAGAGGATATATGGGAAATCTCTGTCCATTTCTTTATTTTTTATTTCATTTTTTTTTCATTTATTTTTTTATTTGAGATGGAATCTCACTCTGTCATCCAGGCTGGAGTCCACTTGAATGATCTTGGCTCACTGCAAACTTCACCTCCCAGGGTCAAGTGATTCTCTTGCCTCAGCCTCACAAGTAGCTGGGGTTACGGTGCCTGACACCACACCCGACTAATTTTCGTATTTTTAGTAGAAATGGTGTTTCACCATGTTAGCCATGCTGGTGTTGAATTCCTGACCTCAGGTGATCTGCCCACCTTGGCCTCCCAAAGTTGTACCTTCCTCTTAATTCTGCTGTGAACCTAAAACTGCTCTTTAAAAAATGAAGTCTTTAATAATGCTTTAAAAAAAAAAGTTGCTGCATCAGCTTTGCCCCACAACACAATCAGCTCAGTGGTACTATGAGATATTTTCTAGAATAATGCAATTGTAGTCTAAAACTTTATTATAGCATTGAGGTACACTCTTTTTAATTATTAATACTTTCTGTAAACTTCCTATTTTCTCAAACTAGAAAATCTTTCTATCAGGTATAAATTATTTTCACATTTCAATGTGAGAAACTTGTAGCTAATATTCAATAAGACATTGAGTATTACTAAGTCTTTTATTAAAACCTTTGACAATTAGTTTTTTAAGGCATCTTTATGGTCATAAATTTTCCATCTTAACCATTACTGAGTGCACAATTCAGTGGCATTAATTAATGCATAATGTTATACAACCATCATCTCTAGTTCCAAAACATTCTCACTATCCCTAGCAGAAACTCTGTAACCATAAAACACTAACTTCCTGTTTCCCATCTCCTAGTAACTTCTAGTCTATTGTCTATCTCTATAAATATGCCTATTCTAGATGTTTTATATTAGCAAACTCATCCAATATTTGCCCTTGTGCTAGCATGATGTTTTCAAGGTTCATTTGTGTTTCAGCATATATCAACACTTAACTCCCTCTTGTGGCTGAATAATATTTCTGTGTGGCACGGGTGTGTGTGTGTGTGTGTGTGTGAATATTGCACAACCCATTTATTCATTCATCTGTTGATGGACACTTGGGTTGTTTTCACCTTTTGAGTATTGTGAATAATGCTTCAATGAACACTGGTGTGTAAGTCTCTGTTTGAGTCCCTATTTTCATTCTTTTGAATGTATACCTAGGAATAGAATTGCTGGGTCATATGGTAACTCAATAGTTAACCTTTTGAGGAACTGACACATGTTCTTCTGCAGTGATCAAACCATTTTATAATCCTGCTAGCTGTGTGTGAGGGTTTCAGTTTCTCCACATTCTTGCCAACGTTGGCCATTGTAGTCATCATAGAGCACATCAGGTGTTATTTCATTGTGATTTTGATTTGCATTTCTCTATTATCTGATGAGGTTGAGCATCTTTTCATGTGCTTGTTAACCATTTGTTTATCTTCTTTAGAAAAATGTCTATTAAAGTCCTTTGTCCATTTTTTTAATTGGATCATATGCCTTTTTATTGTTGAGTTATAGGAATTCCTTATATATTCTAAATATTAAATCCCTATCCAATATGTGATTTATAAATATTTTTCTTCATTCTGTAGGTTGTCTTTTAACTTTCTTTGATGCACAAAAGTTTTTAATTTTGATGAAGCCCAATTATCTATTTTTTGTTTTGTCACTTGTGCTTTTGATACTGAAGAACTCACTGCCAAATCCAAAGTCATGACGATTTGTCCCTGTGTCTTTATCTAAGAGCTTTATGGTTTTAGTGCTTATATTAGGTTGTTAATCCATTTTGAATTCACTCTAGTATGTGATAACTGTTAGAACAAGTGTATCTGGTGTGTTCTCTACAGAACAAGCATAAAGGAATGCCTCGCTCAT